TTGAGCTCCATAATGTTTCAGAAATAATCCTTGATGTGGTTTTGGCATTTCATCACCGCAGCATTTATTTTAGACAGTATCTGCCGGGTCCCGCATGAGCAGGCATAAGCTCTGCCCCCTCTTTTTTAAAGCTTTATACCCCGAATCAGCATTTTAGTAACAGGAAGTGAAATAGAGGGATATGAGGCATGGCTAGAATGGGTGATCTGTTTGGTATTTTGAGCAAAACACTTCATAGACATGTTTTTTATACATTTGTATATATCTGAGACCTATGCTATTGCCTAAAAATAGCATGATAGGTGACCTTTTAAACGTTTTATCGTCACGCTCAACCACACATTGGGTTGAAAATGATCCTCTGTCCTGATGATAATACTGTATGACTTATACCACGATCCAATGAACTTTGTCCAGAAATGATGCTACGTCTTTCCCAAGATCCCCGTGATGTTACAGCGGTTTGACCTTAGTGACACATTTCCACACTTTCGAATGCTGCGTTCAAACGGTGTTGGAATATTTGGGAAACAAATGGATGCGAATGCCCTGAAACGAGTCGTAGCGTTGATTACACGCTCACGTCTGTGTTCTTGTGTCCAGTTCCAGTACAATCACAACACGCGGCAGCAGACGGAGGCCAGAGACGACCTGCACTGTCCCTGGTGCACGCTGAACTGCAGGAAGCTGTACAGCCTGATCAAACACCTCAAACTGTCCCACTCCCGCTTCAACTTCAACTACGTGGTGAGACTCACTCTCTCTGTGCAACAACATATCCTTACATTAAAAGAATACAAGTAAAACCATAGGTTTAAACGAAGGGATACAAAATAAAAAGTGATTTGATTACGGAACAACTGACGAATAAAATAACTTGGTTGACTAGAAAGGACAGGAATGGATTTTTATACTGATAAAACACATACATTTAATAAGTCGCATATATAAACTCAGCAGTACAATTTTTAAAGCCTCATTTTTTCATGTTTCCATTATTAGCATAAAATTCCTGAGTGAAGTTATAAGGATTTTCCATAATTAAAGATGAATAATGCTAATAATTGATATATGTGCCTTCTTTAAACTCAACGCAATCCTTAAAAAGTCTTGAATCAATATGAAAAAAATCACCATCTTCTAGTAAGATATGCCTCCTTAAATGAAGTTATGGTAAAATATGATTTTAAAAGAATATAATAAACAAAATGCTTGAGCCATTATTGAAACTAAATGGAAATGTTTGGCTCACATTGAAAAAGGCTTTCCTCAAACCTAAAAAGACTTAAAGCAATGGATTGAAATGATGTTACTGGAGCTCACAGCAGTCTTCCAGATGAAGCTGTCAGCCAGATGTTTTTATTCACTCTTCTCTCTCTGATCTCCGGCAGCCCCATCCCAAAGGAGCGAAGGTGGAGGTCTCCATCAACGAGTGCTACGACGGCTCGTACGCAGGGAACCCTCAGGACATCCACAGCCAGCCGGGCTTCGCCTTCAGCAGGAACGGCCCGGTGAAGCGGACGGCCGTCACGCACGTCGTCGTCTGCAGGTATTACTACTCTCACTGTTAGAGGGATAACACGGAACATTTCTGCAATAAAAGCTATTTGACAACATGATTTGGTTTGCTGTGAGCGTACAAGTTACATATATATCTACCATTCAAATCCCTTTCCTGTAGTGTGTTATATTGGTTTTTGTGCATGTAAATGGTCTGCAAAGGCTAAAATCCCTGAGTTCCCCTCCATCTAACATAGTGACATCACTGTGTAACACTGGCGCTTCTATTGCCTAACACTCCAACACATTGTACGTGATAGGCTAAGGGGCGGGACATCTCTAAGTGGTTGACCAATCACAACAGAGCTGGCCAGCTAACCAATCAGAGCAGACTGGGCTCTGGTTTCAGACAGAGGGTGAAAAGAGGTGCTGCAGCGCAGGCAGTATGAGAAAATAAAGAGCTTTTTGAACATTAAAGCATGTAAACATGTCACAGTAGAAACACTACATACAAATATAAACCTGAAAATGAGCATAACTTGTCCTCTTTAAATATTTTGAAACTATATTTTTCTGTCCAGACCCAAGAGGACGAAGGCGAGTCTGTCGGAGTTCCTGGAGCCGGAGGACGGAGATCAGGAGCCGCCCGTCATCAGCGGACACAACCGGTTGTACTTCCACAGCGACAGCTGCGTGCCGCTGAGGCCTCAGGAGATGGAGGTGGACAGCGAGGACGAGAGGGACCCCGACTGGCTCCGAGAGAAGACTGTGAAGGTGAGCTCACTGCTGACAGAAGACATACAGGAGCAGCACACTGATTATGAAATCTACTTTACTGGTCATGTTGGTCAAACTACCTGTTACAGCACTTTCATCATGCCTTTGTATGGCTCTGGAGGAGCTTTGACAGGAGAACAAAACTTTGATTTAGCCACTTGTTCTGTACCTGCATTTCTGATGCTTAAAGGGGAACTATCATGCAAAATGCACTTTTGTACGTCTTTTATACATGAATATGTGTCCCCGGTGTTCCAGGGAACTCACCAAGTGTCAGAAAACACAACCCTCTCTATTTTCCTCCATACCCAAATCTCTAAAAAAGGGGCTGCAACGGATCTGATAAAAACTGATCCAGATTTGAACACTGTCCTGACGTCAGGACAGTGGCGCTACGGCTATTGGGCCAACTCCACCAATCAGGAGGAGACAGCCACGGCCATTGCCGTTCGAAAGCGCTGGAGACGCTGTAGTACATATGCCAGGCCTGTAGGTGGTGCTGTTCTCACAGAATCAGCCCTTGCAAAAACAGCTAAAAAATGTCAAATTGAGCGAAATGAGGCATGGCTAAAATGCATGATCTGTTTGGTATTTTGAAAAAGAAAAGTATAAATATGCCTTATATAGGTATGGTCCTACACTATATTATTCAAATATAGCATGATAGGTCCACTTTAAGTTTATGTAGAAGGTTGGCCATGTCTAACATCTGATCTAAAGTCTGACTGCTCTCTCCGCAGCAAATGGAAGAGTTCACAGACGTCAACGAGGGAGAGAAGGAGATCATGAAGCTGTGGAACCTCCACGTCATGAAGAACGGGTGTGTATGAAGCTGAAGCTTTATCTGCTTAAAACAAAGCATTTTAATTTCAACGTAACAATAGCCATGTTAACTACCATGGCTATTGGGTACAGCCATGGTAGTTAACAATGTGTACGTATTAAATGGTGCATTTAAAAAAACGTCTCTTTGCTAGCACTCAGCTCATCATCCTCTCTGTCCTCCCTACAGCTTCATAGCAGACAACCAGATGAACGAGTCGTGTCTGGTGTTTGCCGATCACCATGGCGCCCACATCGTCAAAAACAACCTCTTTCGCAACTTCCTGCTGCACCTGATCAGCATGCACGACTTCAACCTGGTCACCACGCAGACCATCGACCAGGCCATGGCCCGCCTGCGCCTCCTGCAGAGCCAGCCTCACACCGACAAGGAGGAAGAGGAGGAGGAGGAGGAGGAGGAGGAGGACTGGGAGACGGCCGTGGAATCTCAGCCGGAGATGGATCAAGATCCCGAGCTTGATGCGATCGATGACACACCCTGTAATGAGGGGACTAGCAAAGGCTGCGTGGAGAACGGAGAGCAGGAGGAGGAGACAGACGGGACAGAGAGAGCGGCCAGCGAGCAGAAACTCCCCGGCTCTGGATCGGCTTCAAACTGAATTGAAACTCTATCAGAACCCCCAACAGGAGAATACAAGAATCTTTCAAAACAGCCCGAGACAAACACACAGGTTACTGCAGGGAATCATGTTTTCAAAAGCAGGCTACATCTGAGAGATTACATTGTTCTACATCATGGTGCATCAGAGACGTTTATCATTTCATTACCTTTAGAAATGTAGAAGATTTCCTAATAAGTTGAATCTCAGAATGATCAGATGCAGTTAGCTGGTGCTAGATCCTCTTTTGTTCCTCACACACTCTGGGTGCCAAGATGCACCAAGATGCATTCAGACACAGCTCCTCCACAGGAAAGGAGGTGACATTTTTGGGAGGTTTTTTTGCCACATTTTGGGGGGGGGGAATCAGGTTAGGTCGTCCCAAGAAATTGACAGGATCACTTCTTTCAGCATTCTTTTTCATATATGAATCCAGGTGCTTGCTCCAGTCGCGTTAACTTCATATAATCTTTGAGGGACTTTTGCTCACACACACACAGGCTCTGGAATATGCTCATCTGCATTTCACTTGCGTATATACTAAAGAGTTGCAGGCCAGCTTCAGAGGGGTTAGGGGAGGCCATCAACTTGCTGCTCATTTAATCTTTTGTCTCATTTCTCTGCTGTTCTTCTTTTGTCCTCCTGCCGTTATGTACATAAGACTCTGGGAAACTCACAATATAGCTTTGGATAATGTTTGTTTTTGGAAAGCAACATGTGAGTTCTTTTGTTATAGTTTCTTTGACTTCACACACCAAAGGGGATGAATCTTCTGCAGGTTGCTCTGCTGCTGTTTCTCATGCTTTTTCTTTTTTGTAAAAATAAAACATAGTTTTCTGCAAAACCTGACCCGATCTCACTGCCTTGAAACGGGAGCAGAAAGAAGCACAATGTCCAGAAGAGCGCTTCAGTTTCCTGCTTCACATTGAACAGTTTATGGACTGGCATTGATGCAGAAGAGTCTTTATTTGTACCTTCTCGTGGTGCAACTTTTGAAAAGCTTTAGAAGTCTGATGGTGAGAAATTCAGCAGGATCTAGTTTGCCGTTTGGTTCACATGTGACAGTTCTGAGTGACGTGCAGAGCACTTTTTAATTTAGATAGAGCCCACTTTTCCTTTTTTCCCCACATGAGACCAGCAGCATTTTGCACACGATGAGGAGCCATGTCAAGAAAAACAAGACTTTTCTTCTACATTTATGTAAAAACCAGCTTGACGTTGTGAACTTTTAAGTTGAGTCAGAATGGTTTTCTATTAAAAGAACAATTTTGTACAACTATCGACCATGTGCTTTATTTATTTCACTTCTGCAACAAATCACTGCAATCATGTCACAACTCAGCAGAAAGGGATTGGTTTACATAATTTGACCTTTATTTAACAAAACAACATAAATGACATCAGTGAAACAAATGCAAGACAGAGGTTTGACCAGCAGGTGTCACTGTTTCCACGATGAAATTCCTCAGTTCAGAACTAAGTTTTCTTTTCACTGGTTTCAGGAAATCTGTACCATCCAAGGTTCTCCAGAGACAAAACAAAGAGCTTAATATCAGCCGGAAACAAACGCACATCTCTGGAAGCTGAGTGCAGTGTGTGCTGGACGAACATCAAGGTTTTTTCGGCAACTTCAAGAATACAAAACCTTTCTTCAGTATTGTGTTCTTGATGCTACCGTTGTCACCCGGAATGAAAAACAGGATCAAAATTGTTGTAAAACATTGAAATGACTAGAAAAGCTCTGTTTATTTAAATATTTAAGGGTTTGTTACTGCTGGTTGGACAAAAAAAATATTTTAAGAAGTACGATTAGACTTCAATTCAACCAATTTATAACTTGTAGATTCATCACCTCAACTCGATAGAGGACCTCTCATCAAACTTCTATCAACAGAGGCAACACACAGTTAGACAGAATTGCTCACAGATTCTACAACCCTTAAATTACACAGCTGACATGCTTCTCGAAATCCAAACTCTTATTCTGGCGCAACAACGGCAGGTTTTGTAAATACTGTTAAGGATTGTCAATGTAAAATAACTCAAAGTAACAGCTTGTAAATGTCAAGGTGACAGTTCAGACAAAAATAAAAGTTTGTTTCTACAGCCTGAAGCTCAAAAAGAAGCACGTTGGACCTTTAAGTGTCTTTTTAGGCTACTCCCAAAATCACCTCAAAACATCTCTGGCTTCCTTAGAGCTGTGTGTTTTACTACAGCAGTTAAACAAACGTCGGAGAAATGAAGGCAGAAACACACTTTTTAGGACTTGTGGTGAAGCGTCCCTTTCAAATTGCATAAAACACATTTTGAAAACGAAGAAAAATACCAGCCGAGGTGCGATTTTCACAGTGAAGGGGTAACAAAACAGAAAGTGTAACACGTGTTCTTTTTTGCTGCTCCCAAAAAAAAAAGGAAAGATAAAAACATGATCATGCAGCCTCTTAAGAACAATGTGCTTTTCATCTACAAGGTGTCAAACTTGACTAAATTAAGACGATGCATAGATCAACAGCTATCTCAAACTCTTCCCCACAGCGAGGGACGGTGCCACGTGAAAAGAAAGCTGTAAACATTAGCCCGAGAAGAGCTAAAAAGAAGCTGTGACGAAAACAAGAATATCATTTTCTCCAAAGTGGCTCCCTGAAGAAGAGCTTTTACAAAGAGTCTCAGATCACATTTCCTCCCAGAGAGGCAGCAACGCTCGCAGACAGTCACTATGTTTACATTCACACAAGTAAACACCATTTACAGGATAAAGGGAAATCCCTGTTCACCAGCTTCAAGCGTTGAATAGGAGCTGAGAGGGGCTGCGTGGATGGAGGGATGTTATCTCCGGTAACGTGAGAATAATACACATGTGGCGAGGTTATTCAGAGAACCCTGACAAATGATCTACAAATATTGGGTTCCTCTTCAGGAAACAGAGATTTGATATAAAACACTACAGGAAAGGGAAACCCCCAAAAGGCAGAATAGGGCCCCTTTAAAGAAACTCTGGGACAAAATGACAGATTGTTTTCAGACTACAAACCTTTTTTTCAAAAGTGAGAGGAACAACGGCAGAAGATAAATATTTAAACCTGACTTTGATTTCTAAGATCTCAAGGATAACCTACCTACAGTCTGAGGGCATTCAGAGGATGTATGGCTTTCCCTAAGTGACCATAAGGGGCTTTCTGAGCAGTTTGAAGAACTGAAGTGCTTGTGGAAAAATACAACTCCTGCAGAAAGTTTCAAAAGCATTTGATATCAAATTACAGCAGGAGTTTTACTATCGTGTTCCTCAAGGTCCTTGTGTCTTATTGTGGGATTGTGGAGGGATTTTGGACACTTGTGGTCTTAAATGTTTATTATGGCACCAAATGGTATCAACACCAACATTGCTGCAACAACATAATAGAGAATAGTGATGGCCATCATATACTTCCGTTATAATGCACTAAATGTGGACACACTAAACTTTCAAATTAGTAAAAGGCACCTAAAACAAAGTTTACTACAGATTATGACTAGAAATATTGGAGCTGCACCTCAAATGAATCCCATCTTTCACTTGATGCACACAGCTTCTACGTGGCATACACTGATGACCTGCTATCTCCCCGTAAAGATAAAAACATAGAAAATAGGTGGAAGTGGGTCTCTAAGGATCCGTTAAAACACGAGCACTTTCCAGCCGGAGTGGACGAAGGAGCATCCGAAGAACAGGCAGTCCACGGCCTGGTCCACCAGCCAGTCGAACACCACCTCCCTGTTCCCCGAGCCGATGGTGACGCGCAGCTTGAAGTTCCCGCCCTCACTCAGGTTGTTGTTGCTGACGGGGAACAGGTTGACCACCTCCATGTCGAAGGTCACAGCGGAGCCCACGGTGACGGCCGGCAGCTGGTTGGTCATCTCTTTACCGTTCACAAACACGGCGCCTGAGAGAAGCACGGCAAGGTGAGGGTACTTACATAGAGCGCAAATCAACAACACTTAATAATGCCAAAGCGTATTTTGAATAGTCTGAAAATGTAAAGTAATGTTTCTCCGCTGCAGTGGTTTGTCTCATCATGCTGCACGAGAAGCTAACACTTACAATAATGCTAAATATGGTTTAACATCAACGTCCATCATGCTACACATGACAGAACCGAACAAAAACAGTGGAGCATTTAAGCCATTTTTTTTATTTACAACAGTTAAACAAACCAAACCAATGGGGAACTTCAAGGCAGATAATATACACTGCTCGAAAAAATGTAAGGAACACTTTTAATCAGAGTATAGCATCAAGTAAATTAAACTTCTGGGATATTGATCTGGTCAGTTAAGTAGCAGAGGGGGTTGTTAATCAGTTAACAAAATAGGAATGGTTTTTCCAGGTGGTTTTTACCTCCTCACCTTTTCTGACTTTCTTTCACTAGTTTTGCATTTGGCTAGAGTCAGTGTCACTACTGGTAGCATGAGGCGATACCTGGACCCTACAGAGGTCCCACAGGCAGTCCAGCTCCTCCAGGATGGCACATTAATACGTGCTATTGCCTGAAGGTTTGCTGTGTCTTCCAAAAGAGTCAAACGTTTTCGAGCAGTGTATTTAAACATTTTGAAAACGTGAACAATAGGGAATTGTCCATCAACTTTGAAGTTGAGCAAGTTGATTTATTTCCTGATGAAGATAAGTTTACCAGACACACTTTAAAAAAATGAAATGACACTGTGCATGTGTGAGCGTACCGTTGGTGGAAATGCAGACGGCCTGGTCTCTCTGAAGCGACTCTGCCCCCTTCCTGCTGTCCACACACACGCCTACACTGTCCCTCCGGTCCACCTGACCTGCTGCAGATATCCTACACACACATATAAACACTAGTTTTATTACTGTACATTTCCCTACATTTTCATTTTTTACATGAAGATGGGTGTCAAACTCATTAGGGTTTAACATTAAGCTGCTACAAAGTTACAAAAAGAGACACCTCCACATCTGTATACAAAAAGATCATATAAACACATTTTTCAGTTGATAGGGATATATATATAAATGTTTCTTAATTATCTGAGTGTGTTTGGTTGCATGTTCTTACTTGAAGGTGAGCGTCTGGCCGCAGAAGTATGTGGGAGCGTTGGAGTAGAGGATGGGGTAGCGCGCCTGAGAGGAGTCGCTGCGCAGGGCGATGTTCTTCCTGCTGCTCAGGATGTAGCCCTCAGTGCCCGGACACCACTCTGTGAGTAAAAACACACAGACCACAACGGATTTTAAAAGAAAATAGGTTGCAAGGACTTTGTTTTTATTGTTTGACATTTTTGATTTAATATGTTTAATTTCAAACATTAAAAAATACTTTCACGTTGAAAATTAAAATAAAAATTAGCCAATAAAAAATTGTGAACGTATACAACTTCAGCAATGGAGAAGAAAGAATCCACTTGCTTGCGCAGTGTGACCCATATTACACACTAATCCATCAATTTACATTGCAATCCAACTCTCGACCGGGTGCCCATCCCCACAGCTAAACCACTATATTCATCATTACTGTGATGGAAACTTCTGGAGCAATGGAGACGAAACTCAGAGAGACACGGGGAGAGCTGGAACTTTGATGGCAAACACTGATGGGTTATTATGGAGTTAACGGCCGGAGAACTGACAAGACCTGTGCTGCTGCCACGAGGTGACACAACGGTTGCCAAACCAATTCTGAAGATCTCTACCCCAGACCCATTTATTTAGCTGGTTCTGAGAGAATTATCAACATTGTGCATAACAAGATAAAACAGGCAAAGCACTATAACACCTCTATCAGCTGACGCCAACAGGCAGGAACAGGGAGACAAAACACTGAGAGCACAGCACCCAAGGCTACAGGTGCCTGAGCTCAGTGAGGTCAGAACAAACTAATAAACTGGGTCAAAGTTATGGGACTAGGAAAATATTTCCCCAACAATTACCATATATATACTGTATAAACAAATGTAGAATGTGAAAAGACCAGAAATTAGATAACGACAATAACACTGTGTGGTGCTAATTGGTCCAAACACAACATTGTTTTGATGATAGTGTGTAGTTGTATTTAACTATGTGTGTGTGTGTGTGTGTGTGTGTGTGTGTGTGTGTGTGTGTGTGTGTGTGTGTGTGTGTGTGTGTGTGTGTGTGTGTGTGTGTGTGTGTGTGTGTGTGTGTGTGTGTTCCTCGTATGAGTGCATTCATTCTCAACTTTTTGTATGTTCTGATCAGACCACTCGACATGATGAAAAAAAAGTGTTACTTACAAAGTATACATAGGAGGGTTTTTTAAATATACAGATAGATTTATTAGATAATGTTTTTCGAGTTGTATATTGAGCTGTACCCACCGTGCGGTGCGAGGGTGGTGTAGCCCGTCTGGGGGATGCTCCAGGGGCTCCACTCGGTGCGCCCCTCCCCGCGGGCACACACCCTGAACTGGTAGTCGGTGTGGGGGTCGATGTGCAGAACCAGGAACTCACAATCCCGACCGATGTACGCGTCCTCGAACTGACCCCCCCCGCTGCCGGAGCGCCGGTACTGCAGCCGATAATCTGCTGCTGCGAAGTCCTCATCCACCTGATGCCCACGGGAAATAATAAATACATTAACATCAACACGAATGGTAAAACAAATAGATCTACATTATATGGCACAATATAGATACAAATATGAATATAAAATATTAAAAAATGTCATCCATTAAGAGACACAAGAAATGTTACCATACCTTACCAACATTACCAGAAGCTACCAAAAATATTTTAAATAAACGTAAAAATAATACTGTAAAAATAAAGAATATCCATATACATTAGTAAATATCACAGTGCACAAAAGGTAAAGATATAAGGGCTGCCAAGCAACAACAAAAATAATATTATGATTTGTGAATAGTTAATCTAAATTAATGCATATATCAATATTTATCTTCACTTGTTTAAAGGGGGCATTACAAAAATAAAATAGGGAAGTTGTTTTTTTCCATTCATTATCCAGCAGCTGACTGGGAAGCTCATATATATTTAATTAATCAAAATCAACATGTTTATTTGATAGCCCCCTTATAAACATAATGATTTATTCATTATTACCCCTTCTATAACAAACCTTGGCATATAAGCAGAGATATGTTTGCAGGAAAGAACATTTTATCAGACCCAAGTGTTTTCTCTAATCTTTTTCTTGCTGACCTTACACCAGCGGGCCAGCACGCTGCCCGGCCTCTCCTGCAGCTCATCTATCTGGACGGGGGGGTGTGCGGAGACGGAGCCGAGGCGGGACACGCGGTCCCTCAGCACCCCCAGCAGGGAGTCGTCCAGCTGGGCCGAAACACACGGCACGTCCACCAACGCTGGGACCTCCGGGAGGCTGGAAACACACACCACAACAGATATAAACACCATAAAGGGATTTTATCATAGAATATTAAAATATATTAATCCTTTATTCATCTGACAGCAGGGAAATGTGTTGTAATCGTGAGAAAATGGTGTAAATAATATAATACAACAGTTTTTATGCTAATATTATGTATTTTATATTTGATACTTTTACTGTTATTTGGATTCTGTTGCTGGTTTTCACCATGTTAAGAACCTTTGTGTATCTTTCCAAGCACTATACAAATGAAGTGTATATTTCCCTATCTGTCCTACCTGTCCAGATGGATGTGCATGGCCTTCTTGGTGAAGCTGCCCAGTTTGTCTTCCTTCTCCCCGAGACCACAGCGCAGAGCGGCTTCCCCTGCAGAGACCGAGGCTGTCATTAAATATTCAGCACATGTAGGATTTTCTATTGGCGGATATTCAATCTAAATAGTTTAATCGTGGGTCTCTATGAAAGCTGATCATATTGAAATTGATTATTTTTCTTGAAAGAATTCAACTTTAAAAGTTGAGTATTCAAACCCCCACTCACACAGTACAAATACAATTGTAAAAAAAAAGAAAAGAGAATTTCTAGTACTTAATAATCAATGTTGTTCAATACAGTGAATTAGTTGTGTGTGTTGACTGTCAAACAGCAGAGTACCGTAACGTTGTATCTCAGAGCCCCACCTTCTTTCAGCAGCTCGTTGGCCTGGCCCACCCCGTGCTCGATGAGGCTCTGGCAGTCGTCCAGAGGTTTGACGCTGTCCGCCTCGATGGCGTCGACCTCGGCCAGCAGCGTGGCCAGCCGCTCCGTCAGCAGCCGACCGGCCGCCGCCTGCAGCTCAGTGAAGTGCCGCCGCAGCGCCTCGCGGGCCTGACCCGAGCTGCCCCGCACCTGAAGGGCAGAGGAAACAAATATAAAGGGTTACTACACTTACTGATTATTTTAAAGAGTGTATAAAAGTTCATCAAACTGCCGTAAATGATTCCTTGTCAGTATACTATGATAAATGATGGTTTAGGATGTTTAGCCTAGTACGATAGGTAGTAGGCTAATTTACCACCACCTAGTAAAAAGGTAAAAAGATTGTTAGCTGGTATGCAACTTCATGATTTGGCTTCACATTCATATTTTGTTAAACCTAGAGATCAAAGCCGACAATAAAACTCATTTAAAGAGGACATATTCTGCTCATTTTCAGCTTCATATTTGTATTTAGTGCCTCTACCGCAACATGTTTACATACTTTATTGTTCAAAAAGGTCTTTTTTTTTCTCATACTGCATACACACTGGGTGTTTCTCAATCGCGAGTAAAGCTGCTGCAGAGCCACTATTTCAAGCATACTACTTCATCGAGTGCCGCCAAAGGACTGTTCCAATGTCCAGCATACTTGGAATTCTACCGAGCCCGGCGTACTTTGTAGCGAGAAATTTCGAGGCTGCACATGTGTAGACTCCGCGGTCTTACAATCCCCACAATGCTTTGCGCACGGACCAATTTCCCCAAATCTGTGGCGGAAAATGTAAGGCGGGGCCTCTCATATGACGCACACCTGCACACTTGCTAGCGTGTTCCACTCTTCGTTTTCCGAATGCCAGGAAGTATTCTTGCCTCGCTTCTGAAGCAAGATGCTCGGCAGACATGTGCTACCAAGTAAGCGTACTCGCGATTGAGAAACAACCCCTCTGTCTGAAACCAGAGCCCAGTCTGCTCTGATTGGTTAGCTGGCAGGCTCTGTTGTGGTTGGTCAACTGCTAAGAGATGTCCCGCCCCTTAACCTATCATGTTAGAGTACATGCCAATAAAAGTGCAATTGTTACATAGTGCTGTCACTATGTTCTTAAAGTAAACAAAGGAGTCCAATGGAGCCGTTTCAGAAAGGGGGGGGGGGGAGAAACTCCCTCTGGATGGACCATTGGGATTTTAGCCTTTGCAGACCATAAACATGAACAAAAACCTATATAATACACTACAGGAAAGGGAAAACCCCAAAAAGCACAATAGGGCCATTTAAAATCGGATCATGTCGGTGTCTTTGGAACACATTTACTCTTATTGACAGTTAAAGACAGCTTCCATTTGATAATTATGAGCATTTACAAAATAATCCAACCTCATATGACACACAGTGTAAACACAGACTACCCTCACTGACGAGCAGCTTGTCAGGAAGCTGATAGGATCAGCGCTAGAGGTCGTGTTTCAGTTCCTCTTTGCAAAACACACTTTTAAACACCGACACACACACACACAGGTTTCACAATGTGTGTACACAGAAGGAGCGATAAAAAGATAGCAGGAAACAGAAGGCTGATTGACAACTGCTGCACCGATAAAGCAGGGACAGTATGACGATGAGAACACACGCACACACACGATTGGGATTTTGCCAGAATACACACTGAGCTGTGTGTGTGTGTGTGTGTGTGTGTGTGTGTGTGTTGAGCAGACACAGGGACCTTTCCACTGGGGACAAGGCATCACTTCCTGCCGACTATCAGTGCGACACAGGCGCCCAGATGATCAATATTTGTGGATTCCAAAAATAATATTCAAACTAAAAATATGAGCCGACATCATGAAACCATTTGTCAAACATGGGAGGAGACGATCAGGCGAATGTTTGGACGACTCCTCTTACAAGGACAAGATGCTGCAGTGATAGTATTGTCCCGAGTTTTCAAACACATTCTGGTATCTCCTCTCTTTCTCATTGTGTCTGTGTGTGTGTGTGTGTGTGTGTGTGTGTGTGTGTGTGTGTGTGTGTGTGTGTGCGTGCGTGCGATGTTTCCTGGATTCATTTATGCTGTTTGAGTAGTATTGCACCTCTAAGAACTTCGTAGGTCCAAATCATACAATATATTAAATCAATAAACTGTAGTGTAAAAACAGCCTGGTTATAATCAGTTGTAATTTGCACACAGAAAGAGAAATAAACCCCCTTGATAACTTTCATATTTGCTTTTTATTATGACATTGGGACATGGAAAAGCTTTTCTTACAAGTTTCAGTTAATTAAAACGACAACAGAAACTCCTCTTAAAGAACTCTCTTAAGTTAAAGCATTTTTTTTATTAAAGGGCCCATGTCATGGCCATTTCCACTGATCATAATTCCATTGTTGAGGTATACTAAAATAGATTTATACTGTGCAATTTTCCAAACTCACATTGGTTTCGCATACAGCATCTCTGTAAAGTATGTGTATTCAGCAGTATTCACTCTCTCCACTAAACGGCTCGTTGGAGCTCTTGCCCCCCCCCCCCCTGTGAGCCTAGTGTGCTCCGATTGGTCAGCTCGGCCACTCTGTTCTGATTAGTCAACCACCAGAGAGGCTCCGCCCATGTCTAACAGTGCTTTTTTCGGCTCGCTCTCAGCGGAACAACAGTCTTATAATGACGTCGGTACAGCCGTATATTTTATACGCTAACTAACCGAACTGTACCTACAACTGTTGTTATAGAAGAGTAAGTTATTTTTACCTGTAATAAACTATTACTGTTTGATGAGAAATCAAATCATGGTTTGCTATATATGAATGATATGTTATAGGAGCAAATAATTCAGGGAAGAAAGGATACTAAGTATTTCCATCAAACTTTAATTTTAGAAATGTACAAAATGAACATGCGTAAATATACATATATACACTGTATATCATCTATTCCTCCCCTTATAGGCGTTTTCGGCATCTTGCCTATCGCAGCTTTGTAAGCGGCTGCCGGGGCTTTTTAGGACGAGGCATCAGAGTGGGTCATCCAGTGTGTGTGTTGTCCGCCAGACACGCCAGGAGTTTCCTGATCTGGCTGGACGAAATCAAATGCAAATCACAAAATATTAGAGAAACTTAGTTGTTTTAGATTCGTTAGTAGTAGTTGTGGTAGGAGTGTGTATCCATCTAATCTATCTATCTAATCAACACAGTTAGCTTGCCAGCTAATATGCTAACGTACGTTTGCTAGTTGTTCAGTGTAATATGCCAATCTACTATGAACAACAGCTAGTCTAGGCCAGCGCCATATAGATAGATCTCTCTATATGGCGCTGGTCTAGGCTAGCAAGAACATGTTTACAATTGCAATCTTATACGGGTAGTCTGCTACGTTCGGTCATTCATTGTAGCTGGCATGAAAACAATGTTTTCCCTAGCATGTCTAGCTCTAGGTAGCCTAGTGGTTTAGCTATGTAGCATACACGCTATGAACGGTAGCTCGGTAGCATACACGCCAACTATAATGTACTGACCGTACGGTAAATCACCCGGAGTATACTATCTATGAGTATTTTGTGTGTGAATGCAGACATTCTCCTGCTATGAGATACATGTATGTAAGGCCATCTGCTGATATTAGAGTTGATATATGGAAACGCTAGCAGTCCGACACACGTTTACACATTTAAACAGTCGTGGTAGATACCTTGTTTGATAAATACACAAATAACAATGCAAACTTACAGGTTGTGTACCCGAATCTTCCCCTGCTCCAAACGGTCCAAACAAACTAGGAATAGCGTCGTCCTTCAGTTTCAAATGCTGTGCATATCCGGCCTCAAACTGGGCAATGTTTTGGAAGCTTTCGTCTGTGAAATGCCGCGCACACAGTAACGTTCTTCGAACCTCTGAAGGAACAGTGTTAAACAGACATTTCAACCATTGACTTCGTCGTGGTTCTTCCGTCGGTAGGACAAACAGCTCAGATTTCTCCTCACATTTCAGGAAACAGGTCCTTGGCATTGGCATGACTGGATCGATTGTGAACTGAACCAGAGCTTCCAACAGTAAATGTTAGGCTGGCAGAGGGTGCGGCCAGCACCGCTGGGTGTGGCCATAGCTCTTCCGGATTGGTCCATTTCGTTCCGGGTACCGCATGACATCATGCCGTACCCGGAACTAAATGGAAGACTCAAATGGGCAGTGACGTATCTCCAACGAGGCGTTTTGGGGAGGTGTTAGAGTTTTACTCGCTACAGGGTGTACTTTGAGGGTTTTGACTCTGCACACCGTTTACATGCATAAAAACCTTCATAACACACAAGGGGACGGGTAATAACCGGAAAAGCATGACATGGGCCCTTTAAGTTGCTAGCACAAGAAGAAACTAATATTTTCACTATATTGTTTTGTTAAGCACCTTGTATTGCAACTAAATTGCAAGAAAAGAAGCCACGTTAATAAATAAGGTTTAGTTCACCGTTAATTAAACTGAATAATATGTAACAAAACAAAACTATGAGTGTTAAATGCCTCCAAATAACTCTAAACTCAGTCGTTTCAACTCAGACTATGTTCCCAGTATGTGCATTCCTTTTTAAAAGAGTCAGAGCTTTATGTTTTGGGTAGGGATGCTCCGATCGATCGGCCACCGATCGATATCGGCCGATACTCACTCTCTGCCGATCGATCAGTGCTCTCTAAAAATCATGCAGCTCCACCCGCTGTGACGGACCGGTGAGCGGAGCGAAACACACACTAAGAGTTAGACCTAACACACTTAGCTATTTTATCTACCTCTGGAACTAGCTAAACTAGTTATAAATATATGTATTCTTCACTGTCGTGATCAGTGGCGACTGGTCATTAGGGGCAGCCCCACCTAGTGTCCGCAGAAAGTATTAAAATAATAATTACAAAAAGATGCAAAAAATATATTTTACGATTATGTTTAGTCATCTGATTCGTCTGTATATTGCTGTTTTAGTCTGTGCTCTTCTAATTAGTGTCTACAGTGTGCCTATTGAGCCGTTTTGAGCGACGTGGGTCAAGCCCCGATCAACTGTCTAAATCAGGGATAGGCAACTTGGATGGTGGTGGAAGCCACATCATTTATGTACTGGCCACCAGGGGGCCGCAGATTCACTTGGAACACACATACACACAAATTCCATGTATTGTATGTAATTATTGACAAATTAAAGGTGGGGTAGGTAATTTTGGAGAAACCAGCTCGAGTGCGCTAGAATTTGAAAATACACAACCGGAAAAAATCTGCCACTTCCTTACAGAGCCCCTCCTCCAACACACACGAATGCGCACATGACCAATGACGGCACGAGATAAGTTTGTGCACAGATGAAAGGCTGACAGGCAGGTAGGCCATCCAGTTATTTTAGCCGGGCCGGCTCAGATGATTGGTCGTGCTTTTTACAGTACTACGGCTTCCACAGATGACATTTTTTTAATGTATTTATTGTCAATGCATTTAATATATTCATTGTTATCGGGATGTTAAGAGCATTCCATGGAATATAACAAAAAGTGTTTCTGAAATAAATGACATACCCCACCTTTAAGTCTGACATCTTCATTGACATTTTACAATCTTTCAGGGAACATCCTCTAATAAGCTCACTAAACAAATATCAGTTCACATAAATGTTATTTAATTTTTACAAGTGGCATGTTTGTATTGAACAGGTTATTTAACAGTGGAATAAAACTATTTTAAACTATTGGAAAGCACGGAAAATGTGTGTGCATTAAGATTAACCATTAAGATGACATAAATATGAAGTCATGAACACTAACCCAGACATTAGTTGTCTAACTTGAACCTAAGACACTTGTAGCCTGTCTCTGCATTCCCCTTATTCCACAATAAGAGGAATGTCAACACAGACACCTGTCAACCCGCACTCTGCTGTTCCTCAGCACCGCTCCCTCCCGCTGAAATTATGAATGAAAAGCGTATAGTAATTATAGATAACACGGCAGGGTCCGTGAGTTTGTTTTCATCTGATTTCAAATAAACAAAGTCTTGGTTTTTAGAATATTAACCTGTTAAGCCCTGAGCCTGTTTTTCAGGTCTCAGGCTCGAAAATGACATTCCCAGAACAAATGACCATATCTTCCCTTCTAAAAGGGTTAAATTAATAATCTTTTTTCTCAAAGTAATGATAAACCTGTGAGTTGGATGTAGAAAAGTCAGAATCAATATAGATGTTTTTTTATTTTAAAGAAAATTCAGATTTTACATAGTAAAAAACTGTAAATTATAGTGTCCGTCCAAAAATTCTTTTTTACTTATAGTGAAAACCACCCTTGGATGATGGGTTAGTAGACTAAAAGCTTTAGGAATCCAAAGTACAACATATAATAAGTACCCTGTATCAAGATTGATGCAAAACAAGTGACATTTGACCTTTTTAGAGAGATTTAGCAAAAAGAAACCACTTCTGGGGTCATTTGGGTGGATTTTCTCTCTGGCCCCCCTTGCTCGATTTTGATGGTTGACACCTCTTTCTGACCGTTAGAGCCAATAGAATTGAAGGGGGAGTCCCCCACACACACACACGTTGTGAAGAGAAAAGGTGGGGGCTTTGCGCATGTAATTTTCCATCAGAGTGAACCTATCTCTAGTTTGACATCTGGAAACGGAAAAGCAGTTTTAATGCTTATGGATTATCAGAAATCATTTCAAAGGGACACAGACACATTAGATTAACCTATGGATTAACTTCAGCAGCGTTTTTATCGTTTTAATGCCATTGAAGACCACTTTGGAGAGACTACAGAGCCAAGGTAAAAATGTTAGCATTTTTAGCTACCTAGCGTCACCTGTTTTGAAGTCTGTTTTTGCTTATAACGTCGCAAATACGTATAATTCAGTGGTAATATCAATAGATTCTGTGTCACCTCACGATGTGAATCGATGTGTTGGATGTGGTGAAAAGATCAATAATAAGGTTTTGTGAGTGATTTTCGGTGCAGTAAGGTGTTAGCATTTTTCGCTCGTTGCTAATTCAGAGGCTCAGTGTTAGCATTGTGGGTTTTCTTTTGAAAAATAAATAAAAATGATCAGTTAGATGAGTTTCTTCCCGTTACATGGATATAAAACATTCATAGTTTTATTAAATGAACATGCCCTCAGACACTGTTTCCTGCAAGATGTTGCGGCAGTGCCCCGGTACCGGGGTCTCTCGGGCTTAACAAGTTAAACTTGTTTCGCCAAATTCAGATGATAAATACAACTTTGAAGCTTGTAAAGGCATAATTACAAGCGGTAACTTAACGTCACAGCAGGCATAACAACAGCCGGTGTTTCTTGTGAGTGTTTCCCCGGGAAACAAACAGAATACACACAAACGTGTCACAGATTATTTTTGCGGTATTTGGCTGCCGAACGAAATCATGTACGCAGATCGCGACGTAACTAGGAGTCTAGTGGACGGTATCAGTACTACAAGTAAACAAAATAAAAAAACATATATATTTTTTTATTATTAATTACGTTGTTTATAAATTAATCTGAGGGCCGCAAAAAGAGGAGGTGGGGGCCGCATGTGCCCATCCCTGGTCTAAGTGAATGGGAGTTGTAAAAACTACAATGCGAATACTCAGAGTCTTTTTCTATTCAATGTGTGCGGCAAAAAGATAATCACCATAGGGGCACTGTGCTGACATACCCACCAAACGTCATCTCACATAATTCAGAGCTGATTGGCTGTAAGTACGTGTGCCGCGAAAAGTGTGGTGTGTGTGAAGAGGAGACGAGAGAGGTGCAGTGACGCGTCCTAAAACCCGGAAGTAAGCTGCGCATGGTTTCCCTCGATAAAAAAGCAATGAGATTTCTCCATAGGATTTTAGAAAATAGCTCGAAATAAGATCTGTGGGAAACGTTAGATAAATGCACGTTTTGTTCAGCCGGATAATATCCACATGTCTACCCTACTTTTATAATTTTCTAATCATAAATCTATCGATTAGATTTATGATTCGACTTTTGAAACTACAAGAAGATAAGGAGGACTTTTACAAAAAACTTATAGAGATTTTTGTCCAGAAGGATAGGCAAATGGACTTCATCTTCAAGTCAAGGTAAGACCACAATTTTATTGAAAATGGGATCTTACTAAGAGAGAACAATCCAATATTTAAATGATAAAATTACATTTTTTGGGTATCCTTTTGTTGAACTGTCTGTTTAAAATTAATCGAAGCATCAGACTAAAAAAGCTTTTGAAAATAATAGAATATTTTGATTTAGGTAAAAATATAATATTTGTAAACCTGAAGAGTCAGTGCCAGTGCCTCACCAGCCATGAACCTCACTGCACGTCACTGCAGAAGCTTATATATAAACACCTAAGTTGTTTGTGCCCCACCACTTTTGTACATATAAAAACGCCACTGCCCGTGATAATGTACTTCAGTTGAAATTGTTGTAATAATTATGTTGGTTGTTGTTTGTGGAAGCGCCAGTGAATGAGCCCCATTAACTGAGTTTTAAACATCACTTTAAATGGAAGATCCCCATAGGCCCCGCCCACTCGATCGGATCGGCGATCGGATCGGCGATCGGATCGGCGATCGGTATCGGCCGATACTGATTCCGGCGATCGGCCCCAAAATTGGCTATCAGAGCATCCCTAGTTTTGGGTCAGAGTCTGGCCTGTTCTCTCTCCTCTAAGATGTCTATGGCAACAGGAAATAGCAGCATTGTTTACAGCGAGCAGCTGGAGGCGTAAATCTAGACAGCGGGAAGGAAGAGATAGCCGAGAGAGAGAATGTTCTCCTGGGAGGGAGCGGGTCAGGGGCCAACACACTTCTTATTGACCCGAGAGCGTAAAACCATCCAGATCCACCATCAGCGGTAAAATCTCCACTACTGTACTGTACTAGTGCACATTTGAGTTAGTGCTACTAAAGTATTTCCATTTCATGCAACTTTATATTTCTACTAATGTCATTTCAAAGTACTTTTTCCCCCACTTTTTGGCAACTTTAGTTACCAGGTGGAAGTAATTTCTCCTACTTCTTAAGCTTTATAAACTATGTAAAAGGCCAATAATATGATACGGTATTTAATATTTCTTTACCTTCATTTAAAGGTGTAAGAGACAGCAGATAATGGACCTGGGTGATGACTTAAGAGAAGACTGAATGGAGGCCTCTCTTAAACTAATACATGGTTGCTCTCCATGAGCCAGAATCATGTCATGCAATGTTTGAGAAGTCATATCCTTAAAATGATCTGCTGGAAGCATCCACCTAGCTTCAGAAGATGGATGAGTAACAATATGCATTTCTACAAATGAAACAATTAAATACACACTTAAAGTGACCACACAACAATTCGTGAGAACCTGTGTCCCTTTTAAACAATACAACTTGCACAAGAACCTTAATAAAGAATCATTTAAAATAACATATGTAGAATCAAGTATTTTGGACTACATCTTTGTGTGTGCAGAGCTGTGAGCGTGCTACCTGTTTGCGGGCCTGGTTGAGGCCATTGAGGCGCTGCTGGAGTTCACTGCGGTAATTCTGGGCCGCCTCGATGCTTTCTTTGGCCTCCTGCAGCAACAAGTCCACCTCCACTGACATCCTCCCACCTCCTGACACACAGAGAAGAAGATGAGTTACAAAATACAACCAAACATGCAGAATAACCTGTAACCAGACACACTCATGCTACTTACTTTCATCCAGAGGGAGTTTCTCTCCCACACACTCCTGCAACGCCTCCATTGGAATCATTTGTTTCCTTCTGTAACATAATGACATCACTACGTTACACTCACGCTTCTATTGGCTAGCGCTACAACAAATTGTGCGTGATAGGCTAAGGGGCGGGACATCTCTTAGCGGTTCATCAATTACATAGAGCCGGCTAGCCAATCAGAGCAGACTGGGCTCTGGTTTCAGACAGAGAGAGGTTGCAGAACAGGTAGTAGGGGGGAAATAAAGAGCTTTCTGAACATTAAAGCATGTAGACATGTCACAGTAGAGGCACAAACTACTAATATGAACTTAGACATTAGCATATTAGGGCCCCTGTAAACTATTTTAGTATAAGGCTCAAAATAACAAAGAGTGCACATGTAAAGCAGTCTGCATCGTATATGGAGTGAAATGCATCACAGCCTGCATCCTCCACCACAAAAACTACAAGGTACAGCACTGCATGCAGAGCATTCAACTGGCAGGGGAAGTGATGCAACAACCACTTCCTCCCGCTACCAGCCCGTTAGGACCACTTCAGGACCCTGCTGCATAGGACAAGATTGATACTGACATTTGAATACAATTTGGATAACCACAAAACTAAAATAAAACACAAAATAGGTTCAGCAGTTTGTTAAGCTACTTCCTGTGACCTTCACATCCCCTATCAAATATCGCTAGAATAATTCTGCATTTGATTCTTTTGGCTGTGTGATCATGTAAAAGCTGGTCATTGTATTTATGGAAACTGATAGCACAGAACAAAGTAACGTCAACATGCAGAGTTTTAAAAAAACAGCTGTAATGTCAGAGCTAATGTCACGCAGTCACACACACACTTTAACAGATTAGGAGAGTCTACAACAGCGTCAACACATCTCACAGAAACACTGTTTGAACAATATATAACAAAATACAATAAACTATCAAACCCATAGTGTATTTCACACTTATTTTCAGTGATACATTCTTTTAAATATTCATTGTTCAAGACTTTAGAATACTGAAGCAGTTTTATTTCCTCAGCAGTCCACACTTTTTTGTCAGTTTCAAGTGAAATTATGGAGGAAAAAAAAGTGATTTGCCTGCACACAAATACAGAGTAATCAGACAAATAATGGCATCCGGCTAATGCGAGAGTATTTAAGTTTGTTTATATGAAGTAAGTGGTCATTTTAAGTGTGATAGAAAAACAAAACCATAAACATTTTTCACTAATCTGTCCAATTTGACTTTGTATGGGTTTCTATTTTTCAATTTATTACCTTTTTCTGTATCACGATATATAGTTTCCTGACGATATGATTACCTAATGATACATTTTCACATTGAATGATCACTCATGCCTTTAGTAAAGTAAGCTTTTAGTGCCTTGTTAAATTATGAATTGTCTTTGTAATAAGCTCAATTCCTGTTTGATACAAGATGATGCATGATGGTAGGAATAGGCGTTCTGTTCTGCAGATATTTAAGGCCTAAAAGTTACTTTCTTTTTAGAAAAACCCTCCTCAGAGCTGAAAGTAATGACATAACCTGGCCCGGCTGCGGTCGGCCGGCTTCCTTTACAGCAGCATAAGAGGAAGTAGCGCCTGATGCACTATACACAGTATCATCATGTGACCCAGGAGGGCATCTTACATTACACTGTGGTGAATATACTGTCTCTAAATTAAATCCATAACCGGATCATACATAAATAGGACTATGAAAATCTATCTAGGATAAATACGAAAGCACCCTGTACATTTTAGAACTTAGCACCAGAAAACTGTATTGGAAACATTACCTGTGATTTCAGGGTGTTTCCCCGCCTTAATAAAAAGAACTGAGGCACCAAAGCAAGCCAAAATATGTAATATCAATCAATGACATGTTACTCATATAGCTAAATATCACAAATGGGAACAAAATTGAAGAAATATCAGGGAGAGCTACTAGGGAAGGATTCCTTTCTCAGGACATACAGACATGCAATAGATGTCATGTGTACAGATAATTAAAAATACACATAAGATAATTACCGCACTATCACTATAAATGGAAAGCTTATAATTTTATTTTATTTTTTTAAATGTGTCACATCTTTATGGTATTCCCTTTCTGGTATATTAACATTTCTTGTAAACATCTTTTTAGATAGGTGTTAATTTTTCTTTAAATAAATACTCAATATTTGCTCCTTTTTTACATCTTAGGTTTTGTGTACAGTATGCGATATTTCACACCAAAGCAAATTCCTTGTATTTGTAAACCGACGATGCCATAAACCTGATTCTGGTGCAGCAACAAAATAGCAATATGAAGAGCATCAAAACTAAGTAAATGACTGTTCTTTAAGCTTTTTGGGGGTTGTTTATCATTATCAGCTCTGGCTTTTCCCACCTTTTATACACAGATATGATAACATAATAACAATGGTTCAGTTTTCTGACAACTTTTTTAAAATTCACCCAAACCATATATAAAAAAACATATAAGTGAACCTAGGGCTTATAGGGGAGAATCTGGATTTGTTCTACATTTCCTTAACACACACACTTAATTGGATCCATTTGTTTAAACTATAGATATGCAAATGTGAATACAATGATAACAGTCACCTTTAATGCCATTACAACCTTTGTCACAAAATACTTTAAACAGACACACATTAAGAACATTACTCTTCTGTCAGGTCTTTGCATTAAGACCCCCATGCATGCAAATGTAGGTCTACATAATTATGCAGGCATGCACTCTCTGTGACACAAACAACACAGATATTAGTCCCTCCCTCTTTAACTCCAGCAGCCATTAACAGACACTCACAACATAGATTTCCTTTTTATCCTCTAAAAAAAGGACGCTTTCTCTCTGACCATCTCTTTAATCCTGTGGATTTATAATCCCTATCTCTCTCTCTCTAAAACCTTCTAAAGACTCAAAGTGAGTTATTGGAACTCAGTCAAGCATATGTCAAACTGACAGAAATATATTGCGTGTATAAAGTATAATAAATTATGGGTTTGGCAAGAAACAAACCTGTACTCTTGATGCTTTTGTATGAAGATATGAAGCCAGAGAGTTAACGGTAGAGTGTTTTTGTAGAGTATTTAGGTCAACCTGTGTGTAATGATGTCCTACTGTCTTGCCTTCACAGGTCTGTCACACTGTTCATGGTATTACAAATATGCAGTGACACAACCCAGGCCTGTCTAGGCGAAAAAGTCTTAAAACAAGCTATGTGTGAAGCAAGGAAAGCCATTTCATATTGAATTTGAGAAACAATCCAGAATAAAAGGTAACAAAAAAGGACGGTTTAAACAGACTTGACAAAAAGGTTGGGTTGTGCATGTTCATCATTTTGTTTTATAATATTCTCCTCAACATTCATGAGCATATAGGCTGTTTTTGAGTGCTCATACTGGAAGCTTGATAGACATACTATTGTTAAGCACTTGAATGCATCATATAATGTTATGACCTAATTTGAATTGTATGTTTTATCTTTAAATAACCGTTAGAGAATGTAAAGAAGCAGCATGTAACTCCTTCAGGCATGCTGCACATGCTCTGACAAACAGCAAAGTTATGAAAGGCATTCAAGTGCAACCAAACATTATTATTATTATTAGAGCAGAGCAGTGACAAGAAGAGACAGCAGACATGTCTCAACGAGCTTACAAACACTTCCGTATTTTGCAGTTATTTTCATAAAGTTAAACCTTTACCCAGCAGTATTGGGTCTGCTTATGGAAGTTTAGACATGTAAAATACAAAATAGATTTACGGTGTATAATTGCTCCGTGGGAATGTCACGAGGACGCAGGTCGGTGGATACAGTACCGATGATCTTAATGTGTCGCGTGAGGGGAGAACCCCTACCAAACTCCCTTCACAAATCTGCCATTTCAAAGTTCTAGCTCCTCTCAGCAGACTGAGACACATCACAATAATAAAAAAATGGGGTCTGCCTGAATAATGATTGTATTTAAGTCAATTCGGTTTGAAAGCTGTTTCTCTAAGCGCCTTCTTTATCCTTGAAATGTGAACTTTAATAGATGGTGGTCACGTTGCATTTTTGTGGAAGAAGATGATGACAATAACAGGCAAACTGCATAAGTTGTCAGTATCAGCCGTTAAATGAGAGTACAAGTGTGTTACTGTTGATTCAGAGGATTCAGATAAGCTACAATTTATGAAAGACACGTTTACCAGATAGGCGACGTTTTAATGAGTTGTCGTTACTGAGAAACGTTTCAAGACAGGAGGAAAGTTGGCTAGCTTGTGGCCAAAAGACAATCAAACTCAGACCATGTTTGGGAGAGCAAACACAAGAAACTACACAAGAAAATATCTGCTATTTGGTTTAAATGAAAAGTTAATCTTGTTAGGTGGAGAAACATACCTGTTTTAGAGCTTTTCAGTGGCCATTTATTTCCAAAAGTTGTGAATCAGCTAGAAGCCAACGCCACACCACCGATAGATATGCCGAAGTTTTGTTCAAGTACAAAAATGACACTTCCGAGGATTCTAGGCCAGCAGCCAATCAGCGACAAGATCATTATGATCGACAAGAAAATAAGCCAATCGGAGTGAGGAATGCTCGGTTCACCCGTCCCTAATCAACCTCCTGATGAAATTAATTACAATCTAGACTTGTAATGTAAATGTATGTTGCAGCTGGGTATTTATTTACTTTTATTGTGTTCTTTCTTTTATAATTTAGAGTGATGTTTAATGTCAGTAATATGTCCTATGTAATGTAGTTAAGTTGAAGAATTTTACTGTATTATTTATACGCGACTACATGTGTGTCCCTCTGTAAACATTTGTGCACTTTTGCTTTGTTTTGGATATGTTTTTTTGCAGAAATGGAAAGTTTTGTGAATTTTACAAATTACAATTGTACTGAAAATTGAACATCTTTAAATATAAATATAGTATAAAAACAAATCTGTAAAAAATAAATAATTGGATGCTATGTATTTATTACATTACTGTAATATCTTGCATTCTTTGCTATCATATTTATTAAGTGTATGTCACTTCAGACTCGGTGTTACATCAACCATACAGATACATGTATAGCCCCTGCAGGCCCTTTGTGGAGTAACTTCGCCCTCTATTGGCACAAAATGGAAACTGCATGTGTTCTGGCTTGCTGCTTGAATACATCAGAGGTGGGAAGTAACTACGTAGATTTAATCAAGTACTGTACTTAAGTACAATTTTGAGATACTTGTTCTTTACTTGAGTATTTCCATATTATGCTAATTTGTTCTTCTACTCCACCACAATTCAGGGGTAACTAGTGTACTTTTACTCCACTACATATATGTGTCCCTTCTTTACTTACTTTACAGATTTGGATTAATGATGGGAAATATAATCAAGTCTTAAATCAGACTTTAGTTCCACCTGGAGTAAATTCACAAGCTACCCTGCAGTATTCACTCACTAGTCATTCAAACTAGCTGCACCTTTACCAGCTTTGATAACACTTTAATGCATCAATAATTATAATCAAAACATATCATATATATATTATTCTGAAATGGACCAATCTGCATAATGGGCACTTTTACTGTTAGTATTTTAAGTATATTTTGATGCTAATACCTTTTTGTACTTTTACTTGAGTAACATTTTGAATGCATGACTTTTACTTGTAACAGAGTATTCCTACACTCTGGTACTTCTACTTTTACTCAAGTACAACATCTGAGTACTTCTCCCACCTCTGGAATACATGTATCATATTTTATTTAATGTATTCCTTTTTGTAATTATGTTTAACCTAATAACCAGTAGAGTATGTTTGAAAGATCCATAGATGAGGCAAATAAAGTCTAAATTGAATTAGTTTTATATTTGAAACGTATCATTTTAAACAGAAATGGTGTGCTTAAATAGATGGATATTATGATTATCATATGTAAAAATAGGGATATTCACTTACACTTGCGTCCAATACTTGTATTCCGATACTATAAGGCATGCCATTTAAAGAACATTAAGTATGTAGTAGTGTAAAATGCATTGAGCCAAAAATACCAACACCTTTTCAGTATGCGGGCCAGCATGCCTTTCTGGCTATTCTTACGCACATTCCTTTGCTCAGCACATACATGAGCAACAGGGTCAAAGTTCAATGTTAGGTCAAAGTAGTATGGCCCAGCTGCTTCTTACTGTACCCAACAGCACCTCATTTGTACAGCAGAACATCATGCAGTAGCTGTTCTTTAAGTGAAGTGATCGCACCTGAGGGGACGTGTCCTTTCAGCTTCCTCGCTGCCTTAGGTGTGATCACGTGACCACCCTGACAATTACAGTTTCTTTAATCCCAGCCTGAAAATTAGATAAAGAAAAAACAATGGTAATGCCACAAAACCACATAGTACAAGAGTCCCAAAATAGCTAGAGAAAGAGAGGGAGCTGTTTGGTCACCGCAGATCACTGCACAGCAAACTAATGCTATGTGTGACGTAGTTACGTACACGGTCATCGAGGCTACATCTGAGTGTCCCGGGACAATCCCTCAGATTAGAGCTCGACCCGCAGGATTTGTTTGACAGGCACTTGATTCACTGAGAGTGAAAGCAGACAGAAATATCTACATTTATATTATTGTTCCTCTTCAGATTTTTCTTCCGTGTCTCCTTTATATAAGGATAGGGTGGATTGATGGATTTTACGCATGCGTAATTCGAGGACGCGCTACTTCAAAGACTTTCCAAGTGACCAACTGGAGCCATGGCAGGTTTTACGCATATATGAGTGTGTATTTGTCATTACTCATTTGAGAAGCGGTAATGTGTGATATTCCCGCAGCCAGTGGAGCCTTTTAATCCCTCTCTAATTATTGCGCACAGATGGATAGCGTCGTGCCGGCCAGCAGACTGACATCCGGCCGTGGTGAGACCAGTTTAACCGCTATGCCTACGTTTTGATGGCTGAAAAACCATTCAAGGACCTTACAGCGTCAATTTAGGAGCCACAGCGTCCCTTCAGTGGTGCCAATATGAGGAGGGTCGTGCTCAAAGAGGCTGCCAAAAGGTTTCCCTGGTTGGCCAATGTCACTCTGTATGGGTGCCTGTTCGCCGGCGGTGACCTGGTCCATCAGCTCGTAGCTCAAGAGGATAACATTGACTGGAAACACACTCGCAACGTGGCTATTGTAGCAATCAGTTTCCATGGGAACTTTAATTACTTCTGGCTGCGAGCCCTGGAGAGACGGTTCCCCGGGAAGTCCGCCGGAATGGTTTTACGCAAACTCCTGCTGGACCAGAGCTTCGCGTCGCCTTTGGCCACCAGTGCCTTCTACACAGGTAAAACAGCCTGATGGTGAATCCAATCTAATGCGAAGACAATTAAGGGCTTTGTCAATTCACGTGCACATAACTAACTCCTAATATCTCTAAAACGATTCATGTCAAACTACAGAGCAGGGACATTTGTAAAAATGTTCAGAATATTTGCTTCAACAACATGCACTCAGGCTGATTCAATATGAAATAGCATTCAATCATAACAACGAAACACAAAAGGGAGGTTTAATGAGGTTTCTTGTGAAGGTCATCCCTCAGTCAAATATCATGCAGGGTGAGTCAGGGACGTATTTTGAGAGTTTAGGCCCCTGGGCTCAAAAATGTAGGACCCCCTCACCCTCCCTCTTTCCTTAGAAACAAGACACCCAAACTTAAAAAGTCTATTTTTAGTAAATTAACATCTGTCTTTGGTTGTCTTGTGTCTACTTGTAGATGTTTTGAATATTTGTGTGGTGGTTTTGTATTTATCATTATTCATTTAGAATCTTTTTGGCATCTTTGTGGGGCAAGTTTATATGTAGTATAGTATAGTTTGCTTGTTTTGTGTGTGTTTTGCACGTGATTGTTTTGCGTCCTTCATGGTGGTTTTGCATCTTCTTTCGTTAAAAGTCCTTATGTGAATATAGTTTTCGTCAATTTGAGTCAATTTTCAGTCATTTACCGTCTTAATGTGGTTGATTTGCACCTATAAAGTTATTTTATTTATCTTTTGTAGACATTATTAATCATTCGTAGTTGTTTGATTATTTTTCAACAACATTTTGTAAGTCAGGCCCCTGACACTTTGGGCCCCTGTGCCTTTGCCCGGAATGCCCGTTTAGTAATCCATCCACGGTCCTTACACAAGTTTTTAAATCAACTCAAACTGGACCTAAAAGTCTCCTCTCTCCTGCAGGGGTGAGCATCTTGGAGGGTAAGGAGGACATCTTTGAAGACTGGAGAGACAAGTTCTTCAACACCTGGAAGGTAAGGCCTCAGCAGTATCCAGCAGAGGAAAGTCACCTTCCCTCCCCACGCTGCTGCTGCTCAAACAGATTAACCCAGATTGTGCTCGCTGCCGCTTTTGCGCAGTGGACACGTAGCCCGAGAGCAAGCTGGGTAATTCAGCCGCGGCTACTGCCAGAGGATTAAAAAAGTCAGTGAGTTTCAGCAGCTGATATCATGCCAAATATAAATCACGTGTAATGCTGCTGGATTAATGGTTCACGATCCTGGTAAATGTCAACGCATCATTAGTTAATAGTGTCCTGAAGGGAGTTTCTCTACCACACACTCTCCCCCCCCCCCCCCCCTGCCTGAAACGCCTCCCTTAGATTCCTTTGTATACTTTTGTGACATTGCGACGTCACTATGTAACACTCACGCTTCTATTGGCTAGCGCTCCAACACATTGTAAATGATAGGGACAGGACAACTCTAAGCTGTTGACCAATCACATGGCTGGATGCTCTGATTGGTTAAATCAGAGCAGACTGGGCTCTGGTTTCAGACAGAGGGTGAAAAGAGGTGCTGCAGCACAGGCAGTATGAGAAAAATAAAGAGCTTTTTGATCATTGAAGCATGTAAACATGTCACAGTAGAGGCACTAAATACAAAAATGAAAATAAGCAGAACAGACCCATATTCTTTTCCAAAATGGCATATATGGATTTTGTCATACTCTCATTTTTTTTTTCTTTTCAGACTGGACTCATGTACTGGCCATTCATGCAGGTAAATAATAAAGCAAATACAAATTTGGTGCACATTTTTACACATTATTTATTATTTTTGCTTGTTTATGGATTTAAAAAAAATCCTTGGAGAGCTTTGTTTTGTCTGACTGTTTTTCCAACTGATAAGAAAGTAACTCTGTTCACTGAAAACAAAAAATGACGACAGTGTATATGAATATCTGTAACTTCACATCATGTTTACCACCCTTTTTGCAGCTCCTGAACTTCGTCCTGATGCCGCTGTACTTGCGGACGGCCTTCATGGGCTGCTGCGCCTTCCTCTGGGCCAGCTTCCTGTGCTTCTCCCGGCAGAGCGGCGACGGCACTGTCAGCGTGGCTCTGGCCTTCATCATGGACCCCCACGAGACCCTGCAGGAGATGCGCCAGGCCCGGGTGGCCAAGAAAAAGCAGAGTATCCAGGATGAAGACTAAAGGGAGAAGAAGGAGGAGGGGGATGCTTCTTACACTTTTTACCTACCTATCTGAAAAGTGCAGGATACTGGTTGGAAAAAACATTATCTGTCACAAACGCACACAACAACTGACTGTTATGGACTTCAAATCTGCAGATAGATTGATCTTTTTTGTCTGAATGTGGAAATGTTGTCCTTACAGGATTTAGTGCAGTTTTTCTTGATGGAGGACTGTGACTGTTTTATATAAGAACTCAGCAGTTAGCTCCTAAAATCAGATTTAAGGGCTCCATTTGGCTGCTTTATCCTAGCTGTGCCTTCTCTAGTGACACAGCCTCACGTGTGCAAGTTTGCAGTGTGCGGCTGACTTGTGACAGTCATTTTTTTAAATCAATACAAGGCAATATAAAAATATATATATATTTATTTATTTTATATTTTTGTGTGCAATTTTAAAATGGCGTTTATTTTGGGACGCACTGATGTATAAGGCAGTGAGTGAGTGAAAAAGTATTGGTTTGTGATGGGTCTTCCAGCTGTTTATCTCAATGAAACTGTTCTCATAATCAAATAGTGGAAGGAAATGGAAACAAGGATCATTTGCATTTTCTTTGGCTGATTTTATTTTTGATATTCGTTTAAAGTTTCCAACAATTTTAAAAGAAAACCTGGCTATCGGTGTCCATCCAAATGTGCAGTAAATCAGTCTCAATAGATTCAGATCCTGATAAAGGCTGAATATCTTTGCTAAAAATAAGTGAGGAAATGGTGCATTTTCTTGGGACTATTTTCAGCGACGGATGAATCAACATTTGGTGATATAGATTTGTGGCAGCAGGATGTGGTGTGTCGGGATAAATCAAGACTAACCACAGCAAGGATTATTGATCTGTTCTTAATTGAATTTTAATACAATTTGAACTCTTTTTGGCGCAGAAGAAAAATATATGAGACTTTCATATAGATTAAAGGTGTAAATGGGTCTTTTTGAGGAATTTGTCGATAGGACATGAATTCATTAAGGCCTCGGGTTATGTATCAGTGCATCCCACTTGTGTTGTGTCTCCTAGTTTAACTATTTTAATCCTGTCCTCTTACTTGAAACAATGCAGATACCAACACGTCACTTACCCAAACCAGTCCCATATAACTCAATCTTGTGTAAAATGAATATAACATATCAATCGGAAATCATTTTTCTAATACCAGAGTGTGTTAATAACATTTTATGGAACATTTGTACCTTTCAAATACACTTATAACATGATTAAACTTACTTTTAATGGTTTGGAGCCCTTAAATACATCAGCTTTAAATGTATAACAACAAAGACGTTTGGTTTTTCAATGTGTGAAAAAACTATAAAACTGTTCATTGTGTTGTTGGAGTCAGCCTCAGCCAGCTTTAACATTTAAAAGGCACACCTGTCAGCATTTCACTTTTACATGTCACACACACATAGAAATCAGTTGGAACGTATACAGCAGATAGAGTAGTTTCTCAAAATCAAATGTATTCTGACGAGTCACCGTGCACACACATTCACACCCTCACTCTCTCAGTCAATGTCCTTTAAAGGTGGGGTATGTAATTTATTTCAGAAACACTTTTTGTTATATTCCATGGAATGCTCTTAAAGGTGGGGTAGGTAAGTTTGAGAAACCGGCTCGAGATACACTTTTTGTTATATTCCATGGAATGCTCTTAACATCCCGATAGCAATGAGTGCTTAAGTGCTTAAGTGCTTAAGTGCTTTGACAAAAAATCCATTAAAAAATGTCATCTGTGGAAGCCGTAATACTGTAAAAAGTACGACCAATCATTTTAGCCGGCCCGGCTAAAATAACTGGATGGCCTACCTGCCTGTCAGCCTTCCATCTGTGCACAAACTTATCTCGTGCCCTCATTGGTCATGTGCACGTTCGTGTGTGTTGGAGGAGGGGCTCTGTAAGGAAGTGACAGATTTTCTCCGGCTGTGTATTTTCAAATTCTAGCGATCTCGAGCCGGTTTCTCAAACTTACCTACCCTACCTTTAACATCCCGATAGCATTGAATATATTAAATGCTTTGGCAATAAATACATTAAAAAAAATTCATCTGTGGAAGCCATAGCGCTGTAAAAAGCACGACCAATCATTTTAGCCGGCCCGGCTAAAATAACTGGATGGCCTACCTGCCTGTCTGTGCACAAACTTATCTCATGCCCTCATTGGTCATGTGCGCGTTCGTGTGTGTTGGAGGAGGGGCTCTGTAAGGAAGTGGCAGATTTTTTCCGGCTGTGTATTTTCAAATTCTAGCGCACTCGAGCTGGTTTCTCCAAAATTACCTACCCCACCTTTAAGGAAGCTCATTAAAGAACTGATGAACAGTTTTAGCATTTCCTTAGATTTAGGTAATTTTCATTGCATTAAAACAATCATACATAATCTAGCCAAGGTAGGACACATGTAACTACACTTGTTGGATAATAAGTAGAAGTAAGGAAATACAAAAGTGTCAAAGATGCATATCTGGAGGTCAAGCAACAATATTTCAATCACACAGTTTTTCCCCGACATGAAGGGCATTTCAAGAAAACAGAGTATCTTTTAAAATACATCAGAGGAGGTTTTGCCTAGTCCAATCATCTCCCAGGTCATATTTTATAGAGACATATATCCTTGTGAGTAAAAAGTAAAATAGAGTGTCATTTACAAGGTTACTAGCAGATATTGGTTCAGTTGCTTGGGTCATGTTTGGGATGTTTATTTAATATATAAGTCCACATTAATTATAATAAAAAAAAAATGACTTCTCCCGTATATATATGTTTTGTCATTAGGATTAATACATAAAAATGGTATGGTTTGCTTCATCATTTGCAGTGAAGGCCCTCATTTTTCTTTACCGTTTATTAATTCCAGAGGGAAAATTCTGTTTTTTTGTTTTAATTATGTCCCACTCAAAATGACACATGAGTTGGACTTCAATTTCAGCCTTTTCCCACCCTGCACCAGCTGACATATTCCAGCAGAGGGCAGTGGTGTCCCTGCAGAGGAGAAACAGTGGCAGAGTCTCAGAAAGAGGGGATGAGATGTAATGTAACCATGGCAATTAGTTAAGACCTTCCTACAGAACTAGCAGGTGTGTAATGAGCTGAGGGGGGAGAAGTACTCAAAACTTGTACTTGAGTAAAAGTAGAAGTACCAGAGTATGGGAATACTCTGTTAAGTAAGTAAAAGTCCTGCATTCAAAATGTTACTCAAGTAAAAGTATTAGCATCAACATATACTGAAAGAACCAAAAGTAAAAGTATTCATTAAACAGATTGGTCCATTTCAGAATAATATATATGAAATGTTTTGATTATAATTATTGATAAATGAATGTGTTTATCAGAGCAGGTTCTATACATATTTTATTGAAAATGAAGTATTTCTTTATTGAAAAGATTTTTGTTTTTTTCAATGGCTTCCATGTCATATGACCAAGTGACTGCAGCATTTCAGAACACTGGACGAGTAGGACACACCTCTTTAGATTTTTTAAAGAGCCAATCAATGCAGCATTGCAATACTATGCTGGTCTAGTAGAACACACCTACTGTATTTAACTGGATCTTATTATTCTTTTCAATTTGATGATTTTTTTATTAGTGATAAACTATTTTAAAATGTCAGATACTAGGCAACTGAAAGCACTTGAAATTTCAAAAGAGAACAGTATTTTTTCCATGTTGGAGCTTTCACTTAAGGATATGAAAACATGTTTCAGCGTGCATCACGCGCTCTCAGACTCAGAGGCATCCTGACTGTTTCTCCTCCAAGTCACTCTTTCCTCGTCTCCGTCTCCAGACGGGATTTCCTGTATCTCAGGGAGGGGCCGGATCCCAGGACCAGCCCGCCCCCCCCCCAGCTTCCAGCGCTGGGCTGGGGGGGACAGCAGTTCATTCACTTTCCTAATGTGTGAATCTGTTTCCTGCCTTCATTGTCTAAGATGAACAGGAAGGACAGACAACCATTACGGCTGTTCTTCCCGCACGTTGTCTCTCTGAGGCCTGGTTTTAGACTTTTAGTCTGGATTTTATGTGGTGTTTTACAATTTATACTTATTTTTTTGTTATTATTTATTTTATTGTATTTTGTAACCATCACACAATCAAATGCTAGGCCACGAAAGGAAATGTATATTTTGCATTTTACTTTAGCTTCCCAAGTGTTAATTGAACACCTTTTGACCAGCACCACCTTTATTCTCTCAATGCATCTTTCAGGTAGCCACCCAAAGACATGTGACCTTTGACCTTTGTGTAGCACCTGCATGTGCAGTGGTGAGTGTTGCTCTGTACTCCACAAACAAAACCTATGTTTTTACTCGTGAGCTATGCAAGCCAATATCAAATATACTCATCACAAATGTCAGTTTCTTTTCAGTTATTTGTTGAGTATATTTAAGTAAAATAAACCCTAAACAGTTTCTACAGTATCTCTTCTTCCTCATGTTGTCAAGTTATTTTTCAACATTAGAACGGACCTTCATGTAGGACCTGAACCAGTCACATTTCATTCTGAGCTACTAGCAGTAAATCACATTGATCACCTCCTTTAACAGCTTCATAAACAAAGAAGACCTCAACACAACCTTTGACTGTTGTGTTGCCATTTAGAGTGGCGAAGTCCCTCCCTTTCCGGGGGACCTCCATGGGACCTTATTTCGGAAAAATTATGTATTGAAGTCAATGGAGAGAGAAAGATTATCTTTCGATCCCGTTTGAATTGTGCCACGAATTACACACATGATGTTTGTCAATTTAAAAGATAATTTTGCAAGTCAAAAAAATAAAAATGTGTCGTAAAACTGTGAAGTAACACTTTTTTTGTGTGAAACCGCTCAATGAACTACATCTCCCGTCTCGCACCACACACCCAGACGGCCGTCACGTTGGCACATTTCACTTCTTTCTTTCAGAATGAGGCGAAAAGTATTAAAAGAGGTGAAAATCACTACAAATCTGGGCATGTTGAGAGCTGTACATACAC